GTATGAGTTTTATTTTAAAATATTTAACGAATTTGTCTTTTTTTTTTTTTTTTTGCAAGTATGAGTCGAGAATAAATCTATATTTATTTATTTGGGGGATTTTAGTTGACAAGCAGTGATTTTTGGGGTATTTTTGAAATCCTTTGGGGGAAATTAGTTATAACCATCTGGCAACCCTGGCTGAAATCAATCATCGACTGATATGGGCTGACAACGGAAACGGACGAAAACTGACAAAAATTGCGCCGAATTCCGCTACCTATTCTAACCGATGCTAAATAGGAGTCCAGTTTCATTCAATGTGACCTTAGAGAACAATAATAAAAAAACAACTGTGAAGGCTCTCATTCTTTCAAGGAGCCCCCCAAAAAAAATATTAACAACGTTTGAAAAAAAAAAATGGCCAACACTAACAAAAAATACTAAAATATTATCGGATTTATGTTAATTGATATAAATAAAAGTGGATTCAACTTACCATCACCCATTTTCCGTTTCAACGTTGTTCAAAAAAGAAAAAAAATCAACGACTTTTTTGAATTCTGGTAATCACAAGAAAGGATGGTCAATTTAATGAAGCGACTAGCGACTACCAGTGTCTGGGAACACTGACTCAACTATTCGACTACCCGAGTACCGACTCCGACTAGCGAAAAGAGGCAAAGAGAGTGGAGAGACAGAGACTAAAAAGACTGCCGTGTGCCGCGGTGCCGCGAGACTGACTGATGACAAAAAAAATGATGGAAAGGAAAAATGTCAAATAGGCGTTTTCCTCATGCATCGGTTTTATTTACTCCGGAACTGGTTCGGGTTTAAAAAAAATACAACGGACGGTTCTAAAACGGTTTAAAACAATCGCACAGTTCATCAATCAACAAAATAACAACGGCTCGGCTATCACAAATTTCAATAATAAACTGGGCGATTTTTTTTTAACTGTTCTAGAACCGTTCTGTTTTCAAACCTAAACAAAGGTGCTTTCCAGTGACCCATTTGAGTTACTCGTCAGCAGCTCAGGAGTGCTCCACAATTACTTTGCGCCAGGGACCCGGACCGGAACGATAATGGACCGAAAACCGGAACGTTTTTTTTTTGCGGACCGGAACCGGAACGAAACCCATATTTCATAGAAATGTTGTAGGGCAGGCGGAACCGGAACCGATATAAATTAATCGGTTCTTACCGGTATTTTTCGGTTCCAAAATTTTATAAATTAAGCTGTTTGCTGTTTGGTTGTATCATATTAAAATTAACACTTTAAAAAACAAAGCGTTGGACATTGAGCGAACGCGCATTTTTGAACTCGGCTAGGCTACACACCAAGGATTTTACATACTACTACAGGATTGCTCATCGACTTCGATTTTTAGAATCAAGTTCATATGTTGTTGAACCGTTGCCGACGTCATCAACGGTCTCGTTAGCGGTTTGCGTTCGTAGTTAAAAATATACATGTATGATGAAAAATATAATTTAAACTTGATTAACAAATAGTCAATAAACAAGAGGAAGATGTAATCTACTTGCACCGTAAGTTAAACAGAGGTTTAAATTTTAACAAACGTTTATTTTTCGTAACTGACTTGCACCGCAAGTTAATCCTTTTTTAAGTACCTCCAAACTACTGTTAAAATAAACCTCCAATTTCGGTGGTTTAAAATCACAGTTAACGATTTTTGGGTCTAATGACTTAGGTATAGGTCCAAATAAAAACGGCATATTTTTTTTTTTTTTTGAGAAAGATTCAAATCAAATAGAAACGTTTAAGCTATAAATAAAATATAAATACGCAAAATGCATATTTTCCATCAGAAAATTATATTCAAAATTGACGATTTGCGGGTCAATCAAGATTTGACACCTTTCGAAAATCAACTACGGAAATTCCCTACCTACTATCGGTCGCTATTAGCTGTGTATCAAAGATGAATTTCCCAGTGATATGGCTTTGGCAGGTATTCCCAGTGGCGTAACTACAGGGGGGGCTGGGGGGGCCCTGCCCCCCTCCAGACGTCGCTAGGCCCCCCCCAGAAGAAACTTTATTAATTTGGTATTTTATGAAAGCTATACGTTACCTATTATAATTCTATGTTATTACCTACTAAATTTGAACGGTAATGCGCGGCGATCCCGATCGACCCTATCCGATCCTCCGATCCACAAACGAACGGGCTGTGTGCCATTGTGCCCAGTGGCGGACCTAGGATCTTCAGGGCCCGACGCGAAAAAAAATTTGGGGCCCTGTCAGGCTTTTTTAGGTACCTATTTTTCTTGTGGTGTTGGGGTGTGACGCGATTGTGCGAAAGTTATTTATACTTTTGAAGTTTTTTACAGCGAAATATGAAAACAGATTTAATTGAAAAACAAGTTTATCAAGAACATATTATGAGATAATATGAAAAGTACTCACACAAACACCAAAGCCACCAAAAACAAAGACTAAAAAGCACCGTACTGTACTGTCCGTACTCCACCAACAAGTGCCATTAATTATCTCTGGAGTCTGGTTGAAAGACAATAGCTGGAAAAGCCGCGTAAAGTCTTTTCGCAGGAATATCCAATAAGGAGAGCCGGAATGAGCCCTAGTATAGAAAGAGCTCGACATACCGTTGCAAAATGTATCGTAATGAGTGCTATTCTTTGCATGTTGGTATTTTGAACAAAAAGAGCTTATCCAAACTAACCCGTCCTCGTAATGAATGCTAGTCTTTGTATGTTGGTATATTTTAGACGAAAAGAACTAATCCAAGGTAACCCAAACTAACCCGTCCACCTTCTTAATAATCTTTGAAAAAATTATAAACCTTAAAAAAAATTATTGCTTCCAACGAAAATCGGATCTGGGTCCATTTGCTCCAAAAACCGTGCGTAACACAACACCCAACATGGTCCCTACATGCCTGTGAAAGTAATCGTAGGAAGGAATCGAAGTAATTACGTGCACAACATTACCTAACCTATAACGATACATTTGGCAACGGCGGATGCTCCATAGGCTCTCATGGTCTCTCCATATCCCCGCGAATAGACTCTTTCCAGCAGAATTCTTTTGAGATATACAACGTTGCCTTCTCTTCCAAAATTTAATTTTCGATTTTTGAAGTGAAACTTCTTAGGCGGCGGTCTGTTATTTGGACGAGAATGGAGAGTGATTTGGAACACGCGTCACGTTTTGGCAAATTTCGTTACACGAGAGAAAAGGAAGATATAACGTAGGGGGACGGAGAAAGATAGAATGATAATGACAGCCGACGAACGATTGACACAAACCAAGCAGTGTTCCCAACCTCTCAGATTAATAATTCCCCTGATGGATCCCAAAAATTCCCTATCTATATATACATAAAAATCAAAGTTCACGGGGTATCCGGATATGCGCTCCAAAACCACTTATCCGATTACGATGAAACTTTGGTAGGTTGTTATGGCCATCCCAAGGAAGGTTTGTGAATAGGTTACGCAGCTCGGAAAAAGAAATTAATTTTGAATTAATTAATAATTTAATTGTAAACAAACTCATTCACATTACATAACAACATAACCCAACTTTTTTTGACAGCATGAAACAACGTTGCCATATTTCATTTATTTAGGCTTGCATTCAACCGACGTAACTTTATTATTTTTTGAATTCAAGAACGGCTGGACCGATATTGAATTATTACCACGGATCTCTATATAAGGTGAATTCGATTGACCCAGATTAGATCGATTTGGGTTCAATTTAAGTGAACTTCTTCTGATCTAGATCATTTTTTTGTTGATGAGGGTGCACTGATCCAGCTTGAATCGAACACAGTGTGGTTCACTTAAATTGAACCAGATCGATCTAATCCGGTCAATCGAATCGGCTATAGAGGAGAGTGATATAGGCTATTTTTTATCCCGAAAAAAAAAGTTCGGTTGCGTAAAACTCTGCCTATAAACAGCCCGGGGCGATCTAGAGCAGCTCTGGAGTGCTTAAAATGCGTCACTGAACTCACTGGCAAGCGACTATGATATCGGATTGAAAAAAAAATTAAATAGAAAAATGTATTTACATGCTGGCAACGCAGCGGGTCATTAGCTAGTTTTATATATTTTGGAGTTAAAATTCCCTGCTTTCACTGTTGCCAGTAGGCCTTTTCGGAAACACTGATCCGATTAACCGGATCACCAGCTGATGTACTTTGTCTTTTTTCAATCGTGTTCATTAAAGAAAGATGAGAAACATATCTTCTTTCTATTGTGTATGTAATAAAACAAAAAATTGAGTCGTTTGGATGATTAAATTGCAAAAATTAAGCATCAGCACTAAATAAATACAACCGGGAACCCCCGAAACCGAACCAGCGTTGCTAGACTCTAAATATGGAAGTGTGGTACACAATACTCAAAAACTGCCGTACAGGGACGTACGCGCCACGAATACTTGTGGAACACATTACCTTACATAACCCAGTAAACACAGTTACATTAATTTAAGGTTAAAATTTACATAACCACTTTACATTATTATATAATTTTCAAGTATTTTTTAGGTCAAAATAAGGTAAAATTTAACTTAAATGTAATGCATAATGTCATGCTCAAGTAGATGTTAAATTTATGTCAGATTTATGGAAACCATATTATGTAACAAAGCTTATGTAAATTTTACAAATAATTTTACATAAATATTACCAGTATTCACATAAGATTCACGTGAATATTATATGAAAAGTTACATAATTGTAACATAATATAATAATTGATATTTGATCATTTTTTACATAAAATTCACATTATGTTAAATTTATCTACATAAATTTAACATAGTTTAATTACCTTCCCCAAGGTTTCCTATAATCGATTTTACTTTACAATAATTATGTTAATGTGATTTTAATATATTAACATAAAATTTCCTTGTGAATCACAACAAAAAAGTGATAGATAAATTTCTTGTTAAATTTTTAGATGTTAAAAATCAAAAATTTCAAGTCTAAAGGATTAAGTTTAAAGGTAGTCAAATTTAAGAACTACCAGTTTTTTGTTCTATCCACGTGGACTCAAAGCAGAATCAACAGCCATGGCACACTGACAAAGAAAAAAATATAAGTACTCAACTCACTTTCAAGGAAAAGGAAGGTTAAAGAAAAAGACTAATGCAAGAATAGTTTTGAATAATATGTATTTATAAAATGGAAAACAACATTCTGATGCATTACTAATAGTAATAACTCTTTCTTTCTCAAAAATAGACTATAAAAAAAACTTAAAATGTTATAATCTAACTCTTAAAACTAAAATAAAAAAAAAACAAATCATTCATTCCAAGAAATGATGAAAACAACTTATTACTAAAGGAAAAAGGTTTAAATTTTCATTTTAGAATTCAATCTTTTGAATTTTTTTCTACCCTCTTTTTTCTTTGATTGGACAACCGGAACCATTCTCCCACACTTTTTTCTACTTCGTGTAGGGTAGCCGAGTGCTGTACCATAATAATATCTGAAATCAAATTTTTGATGCATGGTAAGTAGGTACTTTTAGAAACTTACACGTAGTAGCAGCTTCACAGATGTGTGTCCTACAATCTTTTATTTCATACTGTTTCAAATAAATATTACTTTTTCAAATTTATTAAATAAGAGGCCAATCATTTTGTTACTTTAAATAATATGAGCACCTGAAGAATAAATTGTGCATTTCATTTTCGAAAATCTATAGAGTTTTTTTTGCAGCAGTCCAAGAAGTGAAAATTTTCTGGCCTAGTGTGTTACATTTCTACTCCCTGATGGACTCAGTACTCGAATAAGGTAATTTCCAGACTTACACGAGTCCACCTAATAGTTCAAATACAGTGTCAGACAGACCATATTTTTATGCTGACATAAAATCCTTCTTTAGTTTTTTTTTTCAGTATTCACTTACCTACGAAAATTCGCATAAAATTAAACTTTTGCAGTTTATAATTTCCTCTCAATCCGATATAAGAGCATTTTTTACCCAGGTCATTGGTGAATATTTTTGGCAAGGACCTATTCACATGGTCTTTGAAATCTCGCCCTCCAATGCGCTTGATAAACTGTACCTGAAGTTGAGAATAATTGGAAAATAATAAATTTTTAATTAATACAATTATGTTTTTTCTAACAAAAACAAAAAATATAAACAGTTCAACAACAATCAATTTTTATGAGAAAAGAAAAGTAATTTTAAAAATGATTCTCTAAAAAAATTGCATAGACTGATTTGCGATTTTTATTTTTTTTTTCAATTAAAATATGATTTTATACTTACATAGGTATTTTTAAAGTCTTCATTTTCCATCATTTCATCAAATTCCGGTACGTTTTCCGTAGACGTCAATGGTAAATTTTTGTTTAAATTTTCCATCACTTTGTCCGCCACTACCCTGCCTTCTTCAGCATTTATTGTTTTTAATCTATTATCAATGCTGATAATATATTTTTGCATGTTTGCAACAGTGAGGCTTAGTTTTTCTGAAATTTTAAATAATGAACTGAAATGCAACAATCAGTTAGGGTACATACTACATACCAACAGCAACTAGCAATTCGTCAAGTTGTTTTGTATTCCCTAAAAAAAAAGTAATGTAATAATTGATTACCAAAAATGACAAATCAAATTTACCACTACATGTTGAATTTTCCATTTTTTTTTTTTCCTGGCCAGGTGGGTTGGGAAGTTTGATTGTTTCCTGAATTTCTTGTTCAGCAGGGATTTCCGTTTGCTCACCAAGGGCCATCACCTTTTTGAGCTGATTAGTGGATGTTAATTTCTTTTTTTTCAATTTTTTTGGTGAAGGGGGTGGAGTAATTGTCTCAGAACAGCTGCTGCTGTTGCTGCTTATTGTCCGAAGTTTCCTAGTTCTTATCTTAGGCACCAGTTCTTCTCCGCCTGTCATATACGACGGATTTTCTGCCTTTCTACGGGCACTTTCTAAAGTGGCTAAAAGATTTTATATATATAGTTATTTATCTTTTGATACAAATGCAAGTTTACCTTACATCACATAAGTCTGGCAAAATCAAATAAAGGGGATCCACAATCAATTCTAAGACCCAAACGTGATATAAGATGCCGCTTCATTCTCAAAAAAGCGAAACGTGTGTATGTATTTATAGTTTTAATTTTTGTATTACTTTACTGAAAAATGATTTTAGGTGTCCTTTGAGATCTATAACACATTTTAGTCTTGAAATGACGTGAGCAATGAGCATTTTGTTCTTTCATTTCATCAGAAAAAATATAAAATACCCAATATATGTTAATACTTACAGGCATAAACTTCAAATTTAATTCTGTGACGAGCCCAGGTGGATTCATCTGGAGGTTCATCTCTGGTCATGAATGATTTGCAGTTTATTGAATTTGGCCACCAGCAGTACTCCTTGTCTGGAGTGAGCCAGGACGTTGGAATTTCTGAATAAATATTCTCTGCAGGAAAATATATCACAGCGTATTTTTTTGCCATTTTAATCTAACTTAATGTAACTAAAAATAAAAATAATAATAAATAATTATAATAATAAAAACTAAGTTGGAACGATGGGCGATCAACTTAATTTACTACAACAAAAAAGAAGTTGTAGGTATCTAATTTTAAAAGATATTCGGATTCTGTATAAATTCCAATACAATACCAATAGAACCAAATGGATTTGCAAACTTGAAAAAGTATCATTACTGCTAGGAGCCAATGTTTGTTGTTGAAAATCTACCAAAAATGTTTCCTTATATTTTGACCCCTACTTACAGCTTTAGCTATACGAGGTGGAATTTTTTTTTTTTTGACTAGAATGATAGCTTTGTTTCTGATTCCAAATACAATATACCATACTATGTTGATATTTGGTTCAGTTGTTATTGCGCTATTTAATTTTAAAATTGCATTGAGCAAGCCTCATCATTGGTATAAGAAACCCGGACAGATTAAATAAAGGGTAAACTTGAATAGCATAAAAACAGCTGAATCAAATATCAATATATATGGTATATTTGGAATCAGAAGAAAAGAATCTATCATTCTAGCCAAAGATATACAAGGTGTTCCATTTGAAAAATGCAAGGGTTTGTCATTATGACAGTTGGCACCTGTCACTTGCCCATTTTGGCATTCGCAAAAGATAATAGACATAAAACCCTACAACTTTCATATTTAAAGTTTTTTTCCACCTCATATAGCTAAAGCTGTAGGTAAGGGTCAAAATATAAGGTAACACCCTGTACAGGGCAACAAGTACTAAAAGGGGTTAATTTTTGACTTCCCTTGTATTTTTAAAAAAAGTTAGAATTAGCCACTCGATGTATTTTATAGAATTTGAATTGTTGGAAAAAAAAACATTTGACCAGAAAGAAGGTTGATGAATACCATTAAATATGAAAAATCTTAGGAAATATTTTTTTCTCTGCTGGTATTTTATTCGATAAAGCTTGTGATTTGATCGGCTATTGTAGATTTTTTTGAAAAATACAAGGAAGGTCAAAAACAAGCTCCTGCTCAGTCCTTATTGGAAGACCCCTTGGAAGACCCTGTACCTACACAGAATTGAATTACTTCTAAAAAAAAAACAATTTAGGCATGTTCTGTGATTCCAATGATTGACCTTAGAAAACATTGGATGGTATGTATTGTAGTGCACACAGGTGTTACAAATTTGAGTGTGTGCATGGGGATATTGGAAACCATAAGAGATGCGAGGTCTATTCAATTGAGGCAAAGTTGCGCATCTTGATGCTTAACAAAATACCGTTTTGAAAATTTAAAAACTCTGGATAGTTCTGGAACTATTCGGAATAAACCAAAATTTTACAAAAGCGTTTTTATTTTTTTCTGAGCCTATTTCAAGAGATATCCCAAAATAAATGTCGCTTCATCATTGCCACTTTTTCTCCTCTACAAATGCTAATATAACCATCAAATTTGAAATATGGCATTTCGTCTTTGGGCCATCATCACAAACTTTATTCTAGTGTCCCAAAACCCATGATGTAACATATTTAGTTCTTATGGAACGTGACAATAATTGACAATAATATAAATTATTCCAATAAGTGCAATACGCGGTGCAATACATCATTGGTTTTGGGACATCAGAAGCTTATAAAATCTAAAATTAAAAGTCCGTATTTAAAAAAATGAAGTTGATGATGGTGGCCCAAAACGAAACGTCAGATTTCAAATTTGATGGTAGCATCTTGTAGAAAAGAAAAAGTGGCAACGATGAAGTGATATTTATTTTGGGATATCCGAAAGGATATCTCTTCAAAAGGGCTCAAAAAAAAAATAAGAATAAAAACGCTTTTGTGAAATTTTGGTTTATTCCAAATATTTCTAGTACTATTCAAAATTTTTAAATTTTCAAAACGATATTTTGTTAGGATGAAATTGTGCAACTTTGCCTCAATTTATTCAACCTCATATATTATCTCTTATGGTTTCCGAGATCCCCATGCACACACTCAAATTTGTAACACCCTGATATAGTATAAATTTTTATATTATAAATGATGAAGAAGAGGTATAACTACTATATCACATCCGTCAACTAACTTCAAACACTTATTAGAAATTTCATGAACGCTGAAGGAAATTAATTTGTTGGACAATTGACTATTATTCACCTGAAATATTCCGAGTATGGTTGAATCACCAGGAGCACTAAAAAAGGGTTTGGAACTTGTATAAAACTTACCAAAACACATCAGATCGTCTCCTATTTTTGAAAAAGAATCAATTAGACATATTTTTTTATTTTTTAAAATGCAGCAATTTTCGTTAAACTTAAGGGAAAATGTAGTGAAGCTTACTTGAACCCTAACAATTTTATTTTTCTTTAAAAAAACTTTTGGATATTTTCTTATCTCTATTGGTTCATCTACTCACAGTTCTTCAGAAATTCGATTATATAATTGTTGTAGTGGATACCTAGAATTTTTTAACATATTTTTAAATTGTGTAAATTTATTCTCAAATTTGAAGGAACTAAATTTGTCTAAACACCCATGATTACTTGCGTCATCAGCAATATGAATTAGATTGTGAACATTATGTGTGTACTGGCCATAGCCAAAAAAATATCCAAATTTTTACACATAATAAGTCATTAATTCCTTTGCATATTCTATATTTTCTGCTGATATATCATTGTTAGACAAAAGCCTCACAGCCACTACTAAACACAAAAAATGGGAATAAGCTTTTCTACCTAAAATGTTTTTTAGAACCACAGGACCAACATATAATAAAAATAACCTAAACTCTGTAGCTTTCCACATGGCCAAAGATGTAAAACTGCGAGGCTTTCTGGCAAAATCTGATGTTATATATCCTTTTGTTGATACATAGGATTCCTCTAGCTGTGCAATTTGTGTTTTTGTTAACCGTACTTCTTTATTACCAAGAAGCCATAGAGATAAAATTCTTTTTGTGACACCCAATAATATCAAATGCATATAATCCAGAGGAAACTGGGTTATCATATCTATATTTAAATTCTCAAAAGCTGATGGCCCATGATGGTGTTCAGACTGCAATTTATTCCTAAATGATTCATTTGTTCTAAGAGCTGCCTTCACATTAACAAATACAACTTTGTTTTCAAACATGTTACCCTCACTTACACACTTTGTACAGGAAAAGTAGCCAGTGTGACCCAATATATTGAGAACATAAGCTTTCGCCGGAGCATCGCAAATCACACAATTTAGTTTTACTTGAAAAGTTGAGCCATTAATTGAAATTCCATGATGTTCCAACTTCCTATATTCCTCTAAAAAAAACTTCAAAAACTCACTTGAATCTTTTGGTTTGCTAAAACCATGGAAAACTCCAATGGTAAATGGTTCAGTGTTAACATTTTGAATTAAAATATCCCCCAATATTGGCCAACATTGACTTCGTGAAGACTTAGCTATTGGGAGCCCATCAATATTAATATTAAAGTTTAAAATTTTATTGATAAAATATTTGTACTTCCTCACTAGATTTTCTTTCACCCCAAAATGTATATATTTTCCGCTTTCTAACTCGTAAATTTTATGTTTTCCTGACCTAGGTGTACTCATAAAAGTTCGAGCATCACTGAGACTGACGTAAATTTAATTCTTGGGGCACATCATGGCTAAATGAGTTTATAGGTGCTACATTGTAGTCGCAGTTGGACAGGGGTGAATTTTGTATTTCTGAATTAATTTCAATTTCATGTTCAGCCTCACTTTCATTCTCAGTTTCATTACATACAGGACTCGATACAGGACTTACAGGAGTAGGACTAACATTTTCATTAAAATTAAGTGTGAGATCAAGCAGGTTAGGTGCATTTGAATGATAAACATCCAAGTTTGATGAATTTCTCGAGGAATTTCCTATCTCTATTCTAGGTACTTTCATTTTTAAGTATTCTTTTTCTCTGTCTCTCACACAAATTGACAAAATCCCTTGGCATGCTAGAACTGACAATTTAGGTTAGGTAGAATTTGGAGGTAGAAAAATGAAAAATATTCAGTTTTAATCTTTATACACTTACCACAATAGTTTTTTTGTCTGCGTAAGTCGGTTTCCTGTCCTTGGTAACTCTATACCTATTCACTATTTCCAAACGACGAACAACGAACCTTCTTAGAAACCACCCAAAATGCAATGGCAAAGCTCATAATAATATAGAACAAAGCCTGCAGTGGTAAAGACAAAAAAAAACTTGTCTAGAGCACTACGCTATCAGATACTACACTTCAATTTTCTTCATTTCACGATTAAACAATTTACACGTGTGCGGTACGGGCGGGAAAAAGGATCTACTTTAGGGGGCACCTAGTCTGGCTGGCGTCAGTCAGGGACAGGGCGGGGGCGAAGAACAATCAATCGTAACGAATTCTTTTGGAAGGGTTAGGGCGCAGCAGAGTGTCTTCGTACTATTCGTGTCTTTTTCTACCAGCTCGTATAAGAAAAAGATAAAAAACATTTTTTCTGCATTGCTACAATGCAATTCGCTATCAGTCAATCAGCAGATGAAGCCAACGGTCACCGGCGGTGCAACTAGTGATGGTACGCTGTGTTGCCAGGTGAAATAAATATTTTAAAAAAATGCCCGGCCGGCACCCGCTCCAAGTCCAGATATATAATTTTTTTCAACAAAATTGGGCGTGTAGTTTTTTTTTGCGTGAACATTGGCAATATCGGCGGATATTGCTATAAATAATTGGTGAAAAAACAATAAGTTTTTGGTTTTTGGTATTATGGTAGATTTCAATCTTTATATTTCGATAGGAAAACCGAGAAATCGACAACTTCGGCAACACTGACAGTCAGGCGCGAGGCGTAAAAATACACGTGACAAGTGACAAGCCGAGCAGCCACAGAGGATCCATAGTGGTTTTGCTGATATTAAAACTACATAAAATTAAAATAAACATTTTCCGTAAAATCCAAATTGAAATTTTTACGTAAAATTGATATTTTCACAGTTACATACTGAACGTCTATAATTAGTTTACGTCAAATTTATATGACACTGATGTAAGAGAATAATGTGAAATTGAAGTACCAATTTTCTGTAAAATTAATATCGTTTGGGTTATATAAATGGTATATTACATAAAATGACATAAAAATCACATTTCAATGGATACTTTGCTTCCGCATGTCGATAATTTCCTCCAAATTTATATAAAACTTATATTTTCTCAGTTATATAGGCAGTATATTTAACATTTTATGTGAAAATTATGTTTCAGTCTTTACATTGTATAATTTTATATAATACTTACATAAACCTGACATAAAATAATTGCAGATAAAAATGTGCTTTCAAATTAACATAAAATTTACGTCAATGTAACAAATGTGTTTACTGGGAATAGGGAGATTTTGGACCAGTGAAAACTGTCTTTTAATAACGATTTTTGTGGTTATTCCGATTTTGAGCATGCGCACTACTCAAAAAGGAAAGAGGCGGAGCTTGTAACGATAACGAAGGTACTTTATTTACGGCCAATAACTTTAGCGAATTTTTTCCTTATTTGACACTAGCGACACGCGATTTTCGACTTTATGCATTTGACAGCATAATGTTCTAACCTCAAATATTTTAGTTTGTTTAATGTGGACAATGGCCTATGTGGTTTATCTTTTTCTGGGCGAATTTTGTATTTTTGTTTTGATCAAATACAGGTTCGGGTTCCTCTTGAACTTGCGGTTGTTGTTGCCAATCAAAAACATTTCTCAAAATTATTTGTCGAACAAGATCTATGTTTTCTGGTAGGCCTCTTCTAATAACATTTTCTATATTTTCATTCATTTTAATTTAGCCAGGAAATCACACAAAACAAAACAATTTTACAAAATACAAACGCAGAAAAAAAAAACAGCGAAAAAGAAAGTCCCAAATATTTACTAAAAAGTTAGGTTAAACAACAAGATGATAAAATAACCACAAATATCGTTATTCATAAATCCACTCCAAAAACTCGTTTTTATTTACCTTCCGTTATCTTGAATGTAATTAAAGTTAACGAATATTTCTGTAATTTTTGATGTTATTTTCACTGGTCCAAAATCTCCCTAATACATTTTTAGTACCTTTTACTTTTACCAGAAAAAATATGATTTTTTTTTGAGAGCGCAAAATGCTGAAAACTTGAAAATAGCCCTTGCATTAAAAATTACAGCAACAGGAGTAAAGGGAAATCAAATAGAATTATTTATTAAATTTATTGAGGTACTTTGTGGGTACTTAGTCAAATTGAAATAAATTCTTTTATAACGTTGATGCTGGATTATGTGACGTGTCAATTGTGTCATACTACCCTAGATTAGATTAGATTTTTGGTTTCACCCTTTCGAGCCCATACTCTACACTGCAGCCTTTATAGGCTTTTTGTATGTCATTCGTATGGGCTCTACTCCTTCTCATTCATACTTCTCATACTTGGAGATCAGATGATTGGCGCCAGCGCGGTCGACCCACCGTCCCGTACTACTGCGGTAACCCATCCAATCTCCAACCCGACACCGCGTTGCTTGGCTTGAGTAGGCCGTCTCTCACGTCCTTGATCAACGTGCCGGTTCATACTACCCTAACTCCCCCACCAACAAATTCTGGGATACTGTAAGATCAAGAACATTTTATTTCTTCTGAGAGAACGAACCGAAAATCACGTTTTCTACATTTATAATCGACAGAAAAATTAAATCACTAGCATAGTTTGAATCGCAAGCATTCCATCGAGGTCTGCGGGTGACGTCATCACTATAAGCTGCTGATAGTGACGTCACTCGCACAGTATGACACAATTAACACATCACATAACCTAGCATATTCACATGCAAGGTTGTCAAGGTGCAAGGTGGTCATGCAAGATACCCAAGCAGGGCCAAGCAAGGTACCCAAACCCAATTTGGCCAACACATAATATAATAAAAAAAAGGAGAATTTAGAAATGTGGTACATATTATCATAAAATATTACCCAATCCATTTAATATTTCAAAATTGTGGTACATTACCGTACTACCGTACGCATTGATTTTCTTGTAACGAAGATGCCCTAAATTGTCGTACAAATACCACACCTGTCGTACGTCTGGCAACGCTTAACCGAACATTGCTGCGTTCGGCTATGTCACTCCGCGCGCTGCGCGTAACTCCGTACCCACTCCAGGCGTTCAAGTAGTGGTTTTCGGCGTAGGTAGAGTGACATCGCTTACTCCACTCCAAATCCGTGCTGAACACAATTTCTATCTTCATCGATGCCAAGCTTGTATTTCTCAAAAATTCCCTCATTCCGACGATTTTATTAAAAAAAATCCCTTTTTCCTTTTGGGTGCCAAAATTCCCTAAAAAGGGAAAATTCCCTGCAGTTGGGAACACTGAAACCAAGGATTATAGACTATTATTGTCACGCGTCGATACCGTTGTGACGACACAACAGATGCGCGTTTCCCTTCGTCTTCATCCCGACTCATACGCTAAGTCTGAAAGTTGTAAGAGGGGTGATAGTTTTTAAGAAGTTTCACTTCTACCACGTGTACGGCGCTGCACCACTGATCTCAAAAATAAATGAATAAACAATCGTACGGCTTGATTGGCTAAATTTGTGCGAAAATTTGGAGTCAATATTCTACGAACAGCCTAACGCCTGCGAAGTGTCTTACTTTCGAACAACTGTTCTAAATTTGAAATATCCTTCATTTTTATTGGCTATATTTTGCGCACGCACAGTACCATGTATCTACTGCGCATGCTCATAGCTTTCCCAGTTGTTCACATTATGACCTCATAAATTATCAGCTTAGAAGCGTTCTTTGTTTATCCATTTATTTTTGAGATCAGTGCGCTGCACATGCTTTTTTTTGAAATTATTTTGAGTTTTTTTTTTAATTCATTTTTATCGATGTCTTTAGAATTCGGTTGTGTGGGGCCCCCTAGGTTTGGGGGCCCGACGCAGAGTGCGTCGTTTGCTTCATGTTAGATCCGCCACTGATTGTGCCACCCAAAGGTCAGTGCAAATTGCAATGTGCAGAAGTGATACAGTTTACCAAAGCCATTAAATTAGCATTAGCGATATAACAGATTAGTTTGGGAGTTTGACTAAATATTTTTCCTGTGAATCCGTGAATCGGTGTTGCTGATTTATACTATACAGTGGCTGTAAGCTGGGTTAGCTAGGTAAGTTATTTAAGCCCGGTTTAAACAGCGAATCGCCAATAATTGCACTGTTCTACTTTTTTAAATATTCCAATAAGTCGCAATAACAAGCACTAGGCCACTGGCCCCAACTACATGGGGATGACGTGGGGGCATTGGGGCAAATGCTCCCGTGAGCAACCTCTCATGGGTGATCGGAGCTCTCGTAAGGAATGCGTACAAACGTATTTAATGGTCATTCCGTTCCGTGTGGTAGTATCAGTACCATGTACCATCGTCACCAAAAGTATCTGGGACACAGATAATGCATAATAATCTCCTGGACTAATTCTACTGTCATTCATTTCAATGCATTCAATTGACCTTTTGTTTGGACGCCATATTGCGGTGCGCGAACATAGTTGCCAACAGTAGAAAAAAAAATTATTAGCGTTCTGTCAACTTTAAAATCTAAAGTTAATGAATAAATTACATTTAAAATTTAAATTTACCGCCTATTACGAATGTTTTTGGAAAGAAAAACCATCAATTTTAACTTGTATTGAGCAGAATATAAATAATAAAATATCTAGTTGACAGCCCGCTAGTAATTTTTGGTTTTCTTGTTTTGGCAACTATGTTCGCGCACCGCAATATGGCGTCAAAACAAAAGGTCAATTCTCACAGTTTGACAAATATTTGACAATAAAATGTATATAATAGGACAAGAGCTAATGTGATGCTGTCCCAGTTACTTTTGGTGACGATGGTACATATGTAATTTAAATTTACACAACTTGTATAAGAATTATACAAGTGTGGTATTAGTCTTAGATTAGGGAGGTATTAGTATTCTGTCCTTTCGTTATTTGTGGTCAATTCTATGGCTGCCAACTGTATTTTTTGTAGTGCTCACAAAATATATTTCCGATTACTCACAAAACAATTTCAATACTAGAAGGCGAACCAAACTAACCTAGACTTTGTGTACTTTTATTATTGTGCTGAATTTTTCTTTTTAAATCGTTTCCATGAACGCATACATTCATGTATGACGTCATATTTAGTAGGGTTCTCAGGCAGTGACTGTTTGAGAGAGGTAGGTTGCTCAACGATAATACACACTACTACTACAGGATGGCCTATCTTATCCTCATAAGGCCTGTGTGGAACAAATCCCCCTCTAGCCCTCCCCCCCCCCCAAATTAACAGTTGTGACGTAGGCAGTTTAAACAGCTGACGACTTAGTTATGACGTCGGAAATGGTGACACACCAATATGGCGGCGATTACCAAAAACGAGGGATAAGCAATCCTGTAGGTGTTTATCATCCTTGGGTTACCTGTTGCCTGATAACTTTATGACGTCATCTGGGGTGCCTCAACATAATGAAATTTCCATAAGGCACCCCAGATGCGTTATCAAAAGTTTGTTTCCACAGAAATCACAAACCAAAGTTACCTTTTACTAGAAAACTTCAGGAACCTTGCCCAGGCAATCAACAAATTCAACAAAAAATTCAATTAAGATTTCATTATACAGTAGAGGAATAATATGAAATATTATTCAGAGAAAAATACGAATAAAAAAATCTTATATTCTTTAGAAATTAATTGATTGCACCTTCTTATCGACGATTACTCACATTTTACTCACAAAAAGGCATTTCTCACAATTTTACTCACAAAACTTGAAATTACTCATAATAAATGTGAGTAATTACTCACAAATTGGCAGCCCTGTATTACTTTATATTGCTAATGTTACTATTCTCCATCTCTATTCTTTGATAATAATCGGGACATAAGGCATATTAGGACATAAAAGTACCAGGCATAATGGGCTCTTTCACCAATTTCTGAAATTGGCATATTTGGATAAAGCAACTAAAAACAGAATTTTCTGTATTTTTATTTTTGAAAAATTCATAGTCCTTCTTGAGAAAACAGAAAAAAAAGAAATACCTCCAAATAAAAACCCAGAATTTATTTCTATGACGTCGCAGCTCGCAATTTGACCGTGTTGCCACTAATTGTCAACATTGAAAATTTGTAATAGATTTAATTCTGAAATGTTCGCAAAATATCATGAAAAGTAGTTAAATTAATTAGTTATAGATTCAAGATTTTATAACATATTTTTTTTAAATTATGCTTAAACACAATTTAATACAATTTTTTATGTTTAGTTTTATTTATTTATTTTACGCTGCACTTCATTTAGTCACAGCCGACAACAGCGCATTCCAACCTTTACATATCTTTACAGAGCGCAAACACAGCCGAGCCGGTCCTCCTTGCAACAACATAAGCGAAATGAAGAATATTTATGCAAATCGGCGCGTTTAAAAATAATTTGAATTTCGTCAGATTCATGTGCTTGTGAAAAACTTATTGAACCTTGTAGAACTTTTTTTTTTGATATACAGGGTGTCCCACGATGGATGGCGTATTAGACGTTAATGGAGAACTGAAAAGCGGATCCTTTTGAAAATTTGGCAACCGGGATGAACGACCATGATCTAAACTTTAAAAATATTTTTGTTTATGCGGTGTTGCCGCTTCTACTCTAAACCAGTGGCAACATCGCTATTTCAAATGGAACACCCTGTATGTGATTGCATATTTGAATTCTACGTAAAATTCTGAGCAGATTTCATGTGATATACCCTATACCTAAGTTCAACTGTTTTGGAAATATTGACAGTTGAAAATTGACTTTTTGCATTTTTGACAGGCTGTAAAACCTAAACGGTTAATTTAAGAGGAAAACCGATTTTACATTTCTATCTCAGATTTTCATAAACTATCATTTGACACCAACTTCGAATTTAACCGGAGATTAAATTTAATTGAAATTTTTAATCATGGATTAAATTCAAAGTTGGTGCCAAATGATGGTTTATGAAATTGTAAAATCGGTTTTCCTGTAAAATTAACCGATCAGGTGTTACAGCCGGTCAAAGTTGCAAAAAGTCAATTTTCAACTGTCAATATTTCCAAAACAATTGAACTTAGATATAGGGTATATCACATGAAATCTGCTCAGAATTTTACGTAGAATTCAAATATGCAATCACATACAGGGTGTTCCATTTGAAATAGCGATGTTGCCACTGGTTTAGAGTAGAAGCGGCAACACCGCATAAACAAAAATATTTTTAACGTGTAGATTATGGTCGTTTATCTCGGTTGCCAAATTTTCAAAATGATCCGCTTTTTAGTTTTCCATTAACGTCTAATACGCCATCCACCGTGGGACACCCTGTATATGCCTAAAATAGTCCCTTCTTCGAGATTTTATACTTAAATTACGTATTTAAATTTTAGTGAAAGAGCCCATTCTTGGCTCTCTTCAGAAAATCTTAGTTTTAAAGAACCGCGATTATCGTGAAATTAGTGAAATTATGTAGTTAATTAATCCTAACGCTTGAATATTTTTTATTCAGGGACTGCGAACTTTCGTCACTCATCACTAATTTAAATTTGGGGGGGCTAATTCCAAATTTGGGGAGGCTTAGCCCCCCCAAGCCCCCACCTAGAACCAGCCTATGGACATGACAGATATATTCTAGGGGTTTCTGGCCGTCAAAACCTAATATAAAAATTGAACGCCGGAATATAGCTGATAAATGAGCGCCAATCGAACCAGGGGGGCTTTATTTGAAATTGATGCAACTTTGCGTACACACACAAATGACGTCATTTTCGATTGAAAAAGTACATTTCTATATATGCCGTGCACCAATTTTCAATCCAAAATGACGTCAAAATGGCATCAATATCAAATAAAGCTCCCCTATTCAGTTTTTTAATTATTCACAAGTAGTCAGTGAGTAGTGTAATTTGTGAAGTATTGACAGGCACAAATTTTTTAATCTTTTTATTATTGGACCCCTTCATTGTGTCCACAGTCTGTGGACCAATGTCAAAAACATGGACGCCAGAAAACGACTCTAGTTTCCTTATTTATAAATACTTAAGTACAAGTAATTCAATTAAATGGTAATTTTTTGGTAACATGAAAGCGGTAGAAAGGTTTTTCAACGGAATTGTGTGTTTTTTGGGGTGCTGAATACGAATCTGAACTTAAGTTTTTTGTCTCGTAGGAGAACCGGCTCGGGCCATCAGACCTTAGAACAGGTTTGAATAAACGAGCAATTGCCCTTTGCAAACTTGTTTTGAAAAAAGTGGACGCGAGAAAACGGCTCTGGTCTATTTTTACCCACCAAAAAATCGCTCCAAGAACGGTTTTGGAACCACGTAATACAAATTTCGGATTTTTGCGCAGAATCCTGACGATTCTTTGCTGGGTTGAAACAAAGCTATTTAATTTAAGACAATAAAAATCTATTTGTTTGTTATTTTATATTACTTAATTATTTTATTTTCAAATTGTGATCCTCATAACAGTGAGGCCCATTCCGTATCAACACCAAATTTTGACTATTTTGCGACTTGTCGCTGTATTTAACATCGATGCTTTCGAAATAGTATTCCAGATCTTTGAACGGCGGTCGTTTGTTCGGTTGCTCGTGCCAACATTTTTCTATCATTTTGTAAATTTCTGTCGGCAGGTCCTCGGGTTTTGGCATTCTATAACCACCTTGAAAAAAAAAAAAATGCCAAACTTCAATGAATAGAGCTACCGATACCTAATTATACTTACTTGAAATTAATCCAGGCACTTCAGAAATTGGAATTTCTTCGTAAGGAATTTGACCAAAAGTGAATAATTCCATAAGAAATACACCATAAGACCATACATCTGATTTATGGGAAAATATGTTTGGGTAATTGAGAGCTTCAGGTGCAGTCCATTTGACGGGAAATTTCAAATCTAACGTGATGGCTGTATAAACTTCGCCAGTTTTTACAAATCTCGACAGGCCGAAGTCGCAGATTTTTATTGAGTTGTAGTCGTCGAGAAGGATGTTCCTTGCACCCAAATTTCTGTGAAAAATCCATGACGAATTATCACGATTTTTATTAAAAATTATTTTGTATAGCTAGCTATGAAAATTAAACGATTTATGAACTAATTAATACATATTTTATTTATTAATTTTTCAATTCGTGGTCCTCGTAAGAACTGGGTAAGTTATGCATAATCTCTATTGTTGAGCTAGTTTCAGTGCGCCTATAGATGATTTTCATTGTTTCAAAGTATTCTTCCAGCTGATGAAACCACGGCCTCTTTTCTGGCTCGAATAACCAACATGATTTCATTATCAGGTAAATTTCATCTGGCAGATCCGACGGTTGTGCCATTATACGTCGTTCTTCTAAAATAAATTTAATAGTACCTATTTTATGGGGCGCCATATGTTCCATAATTATTTCGTCTTATATATAAAATATTTTGCAGGAAAAACAATATATAGATAAAAATGACTAGCATTTTGCATATATTTCAAATAAAAAATAATATATATATATATATATCGAATTTAGCACCATGCAAAGTTCGATATATATAAAACATTGAAAAAATAAATATATTGAATTTGGCTCCATGCAAAATTCGATATTTATAAAACTTTGAAAAAATATTATATAAGGTACCTGTCCCAAATAAGGCCATGTACCTAATAAGGCCAGTGCCTTTTATTACCTAATATTGAATCCCATTTTCAAAAATTACAATGTTATTAAAAAATAAATGCAAATCAAAAATTATTGCAAGGGTTCCTATCAACTCGTCATATATCGAAAAATGGCCAACCACATATTTCATATGTCACATTATAACTTTGAGGCTAGAACTCAATTAGCTTATTATACGTGTTTATAAAGTGAATGGAACGATTGTGATTTTTTAAGGAATATTTATGTATTGAGAAAGCAACAGAGTGAGTACAGAATAATATATTTGCTAGATTTTTAGTTACAGACTTTTTTTTTATCAATTTAACATGTTCCTAATAAGGCCATCATATGAAAAATATTCAATTGGCCTCATATCACAGTGTTTTTTTTAAAGAATGTGTCATATTATTATCTGAATGATGTTTTATGAAATGCCTGGAGTCTAACCAAGAAACCAAGCAAGAGATGCTGCGGCTCATTTGTCCTAGTTGTAAGCAGATCTATTTGGATCACCATCCCAGGACTTGATATTATTGTTTTTTTAGGAATGCAGCAAACGTATAAGTTCTATTTTGTGTACTCTTTCTCAAATAATAATATTTTTATAAATAATTGTATTTATTTTAAACATTTTTTAATGGTGGCCTTATTAGGAGCATAGTGATCGAAATAAGGCCAATGGTAAGCATTTTTGTTTTACGCAAAAACCACCACCTATATGAAAAAATAAATAAACAGAAGCGAAACACTTCACATATAAGCTGGTGATTTTGGTTGGGTTCGCTGGATAATGTAGGAAAAAAAAAACTTCTTAACATGGCCTTATTTGGGGCAGGTATCTTATATCGAATTTGGCACCGTGCAAAGTTCGATATATATAAAACTCTGAAAAAATATATATATTGAATTTGACCCATGCAAAATTCAATATTTATAAAACTTTGAAATAATATTATACATATTGAATTTGGCATTGTGCAAAGTTCGATATAAAACTTTTTAGTTTGAAAAGTCCCCAAGAGATGGCGCTACCTTTGATCATAATTTTTGTTCGTGTATGGTGTGTTATGGCGTTTCCGATTGGTAGATTCAGTGCGCACCGAGTGTATTTGCATCCTTTTAATCGACCTGTAGAAGAGAAAGACAGAAATAGAAAAAAGTGCACTAGTTCCGCACTAGTTCTACCAATCGAAAACGCCATTAGATTGAAATAAGGTATTTTGGACGCCATTTTTTTTGATTTGGTTTGACAAATGGAAATCGCTATAAATAAAGATAGCTAACTCATCGATGAAGTGAGCTATTAGAATAAAAACCTTTTTGCACTGATGCGTTTATTATTAGAGATGCCACGAATAGTGATTTGGCCGAATACCGAATACCGAATATTCGGCCACAAACGAGTACCGCCGAATATTCTGCCGCCGAATATTCGGCGACAGATCTGTGGGTTTTGTGCGTGAACAACAGGTCGGGACCTGTCTCTTTCTCATCGCGTCGCCTCCAGTAACGACGGAATTTGGTTCACTTGAGAATATATCATATTACAATACGCATTATTAGCTATATTCTTTTGATCCAGAGCTGAGCAAGCTACTTGAAAAAAGTAGCTAGCTACAAGTTACAAGCTACTATATATTGTAAGTAGTTAAGTTACTTAGTAACTTAACTACCTCTTTGAAAAAGTAGCTAAGCTACTGGTAACTTAACTACATATTAAATTAGTTGAAAGCTACATTTTCAAAAGTTAAATTAATGAAAACAAAAAAGCATGCAACAAAACATTTTATTTCGGACAAAATCACATCGGAAAAAAAAAAACATTTTGGTCTTACCTAATATACAGACATACCTATTGTAGCTTAATCAATAAAAGTAACTTCAACTACCAAAAATAGCTTATATATTTAATCCAAGTGGAGCTTTGAATGTGACTCTCGTAGAAACAAAAGTCACATTCAAAAGCTCCACTTAACTTATTAAATATCCCTTAATATCCCTTAAGTGATAGCGGTGCAAATGGCCATTATCCTTATAAAGAAAGAAACAGATAGAAGTAAATTTTCTTTGCACTAATCCCAACCCGAAACACTATCAAATAAAAATATAAAAACCAAAAAAGATTCCACAAAAATATCGCCGATTGCTCTGGTGACGAGCGATTTTATTTTTGTCAGCTGGTACATATACTAGCCTGTACACGCGGAACACAACCTCAATTATCCAATGTATGATCATCATTCACCAGTGTTGCCGTTGCCGCGCTTATGAAAATACATAATTATCATCACGCAATTATCAATGCACCCTAATTGCAGCTATTCAAATTACAAATCAACGGCCGTCCAAAATACCTTATTTCAATCCAACACACAATACACAACAAAAATTATGATCAAAGGTAGCGCCATCTCTCGGGGACTTTTCAAACTAAAAAGTTTTATATCGAACTTTGCACAATGCCAAATTCAATATGTATAATATTATTTCAAAGTTTTATAAATATTGAATTTTGCATGGGTCAAATTCAATATATATATTTTTTCAAAGTTTTATATGTATCGAACTTTGCACGGTGCCAAATTCGATATATATAATATTTTTTCAAAGTTTTATAAATATCGAATTTTGTATGGAGCCAAATTCAATATATTTATTTTTTCAAAGTTTTATATATATCGAACTTTGCATGGTGCTAAATTCGATATATATATATATTATTTTTTTATTTTAAATACAGGGTGAATCCGAAAGTGAGGCTTTTTTTTTAACAGGATGTATATCTCACCAAAATAAGTTGTTTGGCAGAAAATTGTTTATATAAAAAATTTAAGATAACGGAGGTACAGCTATTTTGAGGTTAGAGGAGACTTCCACTATAAATCACTTTGTTTACATTTTCTCAAAAAAAAAGCCGCAAAAAAGCCATTATTAGTCCAGCATAATGAGTCTTATTCCATAATAGGTACTCACAGTTGCATTATTCCATCAGAAAAAAATTCATTTTCAACCTATCAATTTTAGTTTTAAAGTGAAACAGACAAAATTTAAGAGGGAAATGAAGCATCATACAAATGGAAATAATTTTGAAAAATTTTTGTAATAATTTTTATCATATATTCTCTACTAAATCTTAGATTATTGAAATTAGATTTTTAATGCACATAACCCTAAAATAGCTGTACCTCCGTTATCTTAAATTTTTTATGTAAACAATATTTTGCCAAACAACTTATTTTGGCGAGATATATACCCTGTTAAAAAAAAACCCTCACTTTCAGATTCACCCTGTATATGCAAAATGCTGGTCATTTTTATCTATACAGAGTGTTCCGAAATTAATGCACTAAATTTTGATGGCATGTTCTACGTCGAAAATAAGCCCTATTTACCTATATAAACATACCTCTCCGGGGAGCCACGCGACCTTGTTGTTGGTGGAGAGGCTCAGCGGCCGTACGTCGCTGCAGAGATGTAGAGTCGTTTGGTCGTGACCAAGAGTGGCTCGCCATACCGGGAAAGCAGACACACAGCATCCTGGTATGCTGGGTGTCTGCTAGACAAACAGCGTGGAGGAGGACACTCGACTCGGCCTCAGCCCGCAATCTGGGTCTCGCGGCCCTGTTTCGGGATGGGGCCGAGTCGACTGCCCTCCGTGGAAACCTGCCTGGTATATCTCGCGCTCTAAGATCGGTGGTTGATGAGGAAGTATCTTAGAGCGTGAGGGCCTACCTCAACTGGTCGGCCAAGTGGAAGGCGAACCACAATAAAAATCCCTCCAAGTCACGGTGGAACAGCATAGGCCAAGGACTGCGTGGTTAGGGGAGAGCCTAATCGATACTATGCGAACTCCAGGGATGTGGCGACCCCACGGCTTAACTAGCCCGACCGGGGCAAGCGGGGCTCTGCCTCGGCCGTATGGTTTATTTCCCTAGCTACTCGTGGGTCCTAACATGGACACACAAAATCAAACAATCAAGGCGAAGGATGATAGCGCCTCAAGCACATCCGAAAACATGGAAGTAGGAGACTGTAAAAGCCCCACTGACGTAGAAGAAGAACTTCTACGTTCAGACGAAGAACTCAGCAAAGATCTGAGTGCCCTACGACTGACGGGCGACGTGAGGATCAGGCTGAGTGGCGCTGCCAGAAAGAGGATGAAATTCCTCAAAATAAAAAGGGATGAGTGCAGACAAAGCCCGCAAAAAGGCCCTTGAGCCAATCAAAGAAAGGGCTAAAACCTCTGACAAGGGCGAAATAAGAGCCCGGTCAGAAGGAAACACCCCCGAGGCTCAAGCCAAAAAAAGAGCTAGGACAAGGGATACGGACAGAAATGCCCCGCCCACAAAAAAGGAAACGAGCAGCAGTGCTCCGCCTTCCAGAGCTCCAAAACCAACCTTCAGCCAGATAGCTGGAGGCATAAAGGTAGGAATACTACCTACAGACTTCCCCAATTGCCTTTTGCCAGTGGAGCAAATTCAAGCCACCAAAGAGGCAATTATGGATAAGATCGTGGACGAGGTAGCATCGGATTGCCCGGTCAAACCGAAGTTTTTGAGCGCCCACAACAGACCCGGCTGGCTCGCTCTAGTTTGCGAAAACCTAGCCACCAAGCAGTGGCTGCAAACTGCAGTCGCCTCCATCAAGCCTTGGGAGGAAGCTTCGCTAAGGATGGTAAAGGAATCTGACATTCCTC